GAAGTCAGTTCCCTATTCTTACAGGAAACCTCTCACAAATCCAGATCACTAAACAGGACGATTTGGAAAACTTCACATTCTCCAGCTGCAAACCATCCATCCTCATCGGCAACGACTACTTCTGGGACATAGTTCTCTCTGACGAATTCTTTTACCGCATGCTCCCCAACGGATACCGACTCCTTCATACGACGATCGGTGATGTTATCATAAATGAAACTCTCAAGGTCACACACGCCGACAGCTATACATCCGTCATCGTGAACGAAGACCTGGACAATCGTCGATCACGATGAAATTTCTGACCTTGTCAGCAGCTTCTGAATCTCGAAATGGTTGGAATAACGGACGACCCAACCTAAATGCGACGACGACGAGTGTCTCAACTATTTCAACGACACTACCTTCTACGACCATCGCCAGAAACGATACGTCGTCAGGTTGCCATTCAAAAGCGATCCATCGCAGCTGCCGGATAACTTTTCCCTTGCCCTCTCACGTCTTCGTTCCCAAGTCAAGTCTCTTCAGCGAAAACCAGAGTATATGGAAAGGTATCACGCTCTGATCATTAACCAACTTCAGCAAGGTATAATCGAGCTGGTTCCCACCGAAGAACTCCGGAAGCCCTCCCACTATCTTTCACATCACGGAGTAGTGAAGAAAGAAGGAAACGTCATAAAGCTACGGTGTGTATACGATGGCTCTGCTAAAATTCGAGGACACTCCAGTATAAACAATATACTCTATCGCGGACCGGTACTTCTACCAAACCTGACAGGTATTCTACTTCGATGCAGATTCCAAAAAATACTGATTTCCAGCGACATAGAAAAAGGCCTTCTGATGGTCGGATTACACGAGAACTGCCGAGACTTCACTCGCTTCTTATGGCTGAAAGACCCATCACGACACCTCGAGAACGACAACATCGCCACATACAGGTTCACTCGTGTACCTTTCGGACTGATCAGCTCTCCGTTCCTCTTAGCAGGTACAATCCATTTCATCTCACTTCGACAGCAACTCCTCTTTCTAATGGAATACTTCGTAATACATACGTCGATAACGTGTTTCATGGTGTGAGCACCGTTGAAGAAGGACGCGATTTCTACAAGCAGTCTAAAAAGCTATTTCAATCCGCAGGAATGAATCTCCGCGCGTATGCCAGCAACTCGATGGAACTCAATCAATATTTCGAAGTCAATGAGGAATGTAAGACACCAGGAATACAAAAGTTACTTGGCCTCCAGTGGGACACCAATGAGGACACACTTTTCATCCGTCTTCCCGCGCAGCCTCCGGACGACACCAAATGGACCAAAAGAAAGGTACTGAAATGTATCGCCAGCATTTATGATCCTCTAGGACTACTTTCTCCCACAATTCTTCTCGGGAAAATGTTCCTGCAGTCACTTTGGAAAATCCAACTCTGTTGGGACGACCTACTTCCCTCGGAATATAGCACCAACTGGGAAGGGATAATATCCTCATGGAATGTTCCAGGATTAACGATACCACGATTACCATTCGACATCAACGACAACTCAGGAATTGAATATGACCTTCACGTCTTCACGGATGCTTCAGCAGTCGCATACTGCGCCGCCGCATACATCGTACGACGCCGCGGTGAAATCGTGCTATCAACATCTCTCATTATGTCAAAATCCAGACTTGCACCCCTGGGCCACACCATCACAATCCCACGGCTCGAGTTAGCAGCAATGATGATCGGCTCAAAACTACTCACCTTCATCAGCCAACACCTAGATGTCCATGTGAAACGAAAATTCCTCTGGACCGACAGCAGCGTAGCCTTAACATGGATAAAGAGTCACAAGGACCTCCCAGTCTTCGTCAGCAACCGCGTTAAAGTGATTCATCAAAACATAGCCGATGTTACAGTGAAACACGTTCCTGGAAATATCAACCCCGCGGATATCGGTAGCAGAGGAGCTACAATCCAAGAGCTACTTAACTCAACAACCTGGTGGAAAGGACCAAACTTTCTGAGGAGCACTGAAAACACGTGGCCCAGTGACTTAATCGATGCTACCATTCACAAAGCTGAAAGAAGCCCCACAGTGGACATTTCTCCAACGCATCCAATTAACTCTTCCATTACCGTAACCTCTCCCATGGACACATCACGCTTCAGCTCGTGGAAGAAGATCGTCAACACAATGACATACATTCTCCAATTCATCACGATGAAATCTCGAAAAGCTCGCAAACATTTCGGCGTATTCAAGGTTACTCACATATGGAAAGCAGAAATCATACTGTTCCGTCTTGCGCAAGCAGAAAGCCCTCCTACAGAGGAACACAAGAAACAACTACGACTCTTCCTGTGTCCTGCAACACTGTTATGGAAAAGCAAGGGAAGAACGGACCACGCTACACTACCACCGGACGCGATAACTCCAATTTTCCTTCCCCGTCGAACCCACATTACCGACCTCTTCGTTCTCCACGTCCATCAAGCAAACAACCACTGTGGTGTGAACCATACACTCACTCTCCTCCGACAAAGCGTGTGGATCCCGAAAGGAAGAGCAGCTGTAAAAAGAATACTTCACAACAACTGCTTCTATTGCAAAAGAAACATTGCCAAACCGTTCTGCCTGCCACCGTTCCCGTGCCACCCTCAAAGACGAGTAAATCCTCCTCAATACCCATTCGAAAACGTCGGAATGGACTTCTTCGGTCCTCTGCAATATCGCACCAAGGACAAAACTGCCGAGAAGTACTGGATGATACTTCTCACGTGCCTAAATTGCCGCGCCGTCTACGTTGTGACGTCTCATCTTGGGACATGACTTTCAAGAAGCGTTCTAACTAGTCTACGAAGCATTCATTGCCACAGTCGGTTAGCCGACATGGATTCTGTTGGACAACACGCGTTCACGTCCAGTCACACAAACAATCGAGCATTGCTACGCCTTCTCTTCCAGGAGCTTCCCGTGACGAAGATGTTCTCCACTTCTGCAGCCGACCTAAACGATACCATGATTCATCCACAAGGCCTGAGCCCATGGCGAAGGTGGAATCTACGAAAAAGATCGGTCGACAGTTTTTCAAAGAGTCCTCGGAATGCGATCTCCACAAAGTCCCTCTTGACATCGAAGATATTCGCCAATGCAAGGAAGCAGAAGCCATCGTCAATACCAGACCGCTGACGTACTACACAGATGACATAACCTACTTTCCTCTCCGTCCAATTGACTTCTTGCGGACCTTACACTCGACTCAATGGTCCACAACCGTCGGAAAATGACGCCGAACAAGACACCTTACTGAGATATTGGAATCACACCGCAGAGCTCGTCACCACTTTCTGGAGGAGGTGGACTCAAGAATACCTTTCGTCTCTCCGTGAAAGCTTTAAGTTCCAGCATAAACAGCCTCGATCACATGAACAGAATCCTCCAAAAAGAGGAGACTACGTCATCATACACGACCCGTCCTTACATCGAGGTCAGTGGAAAATGGGAGAAATCGTAGGATCTCAAGATGACTTCAACCGATCTGTCGAAATACGTCTTCCTTCAAAGAAGATCATCACTCGACCAAACAGCCTGATCTACAAGCTGGAACTTCATCCTTCAGAATCGTCACAACAAAAGTCGTCCGAAGCTACTACGATAAGGCCGCACTCCGTTGAAACGTCGAGACAACCCCAGCGACATCCTATGATAACGAGGTCATTGGCGAGACTTTTACCAAACACGATCTTTCTCTGCCTCTGCATCCTTCTCCTGCACAACGTCTCAGCGTTAAATACTCGTTGTCCAGACGACATGAGTATCAACAAAACAATTCTGTACGCAACCAACTGCGCTGCAAAACGGAATCGCGATTGCAAGGTACGAACAAATGGAAAAGCGGATCATGTGCTGGTTCCCTGTTTCCTGCCCAATGGGACACATACGTTTCGACCTTTCAACAACACATGCAACCTTATGCGGTCGCACATGTCAGTGCCCAAACTGGACTACTTCCTGTTCCTTCAGTAGAAGTCCAAGAACAACACTTTCGGAACTCAGTAACCTTCCTCAGCCACTTCGCCAATATCATCCGCTCCACGTCTGTTCCTTCAATTACACATCCGAATGTGACTCAACGAGGAGAATCGGAGTTTTCAGTCAAGTACAACTATTCGACAATACTCTAATTATAGGTGAGAACCTCACCATCACTATCCAGAACTACATCGTAAATTCGACTTCATATGCGTTGACAGCAAAGGATGGATACGACGACCAAATAGGCAAGTGAAAGGAACTTCACGTTTTTGCGAGAAACACGAATGCCGTTCGAACGCTCGTCTTTTCTGCACGTACGACAGCCCTCTCGCCCTTTTGGTCATCGATGATTCACCACAAAAGGGCGGCGACCAAGGCATACCAGTGAAGGCATGGGGCACTGTCATAAAATCATACTATGGTTATCCAGTAGAAAGAACAAAACGGAAAGCGGTCTCTGCAAAAAACAATATTGCATCCTTTCAAACCAACGGAGAAGTACCGGAAAGCAACAGGGAAATGAATATGATGGAATGATCAAGGGTGGCTCCTAATATCGACTCAAGAGGATTGACATCATTGCAGCCTGCATTAGGGAGCTATGTGCAATTATAACAACTCGAGGAAAGTGATTTCGACTCAGCTGATGATTTTCCAACTCGCCTTATTATGTACCAGACTACACTGGGGTATCAGATCAGGTTACTCAGCTGAAGACTGGTATACGATGGAAAGTAAGTGAAAAGCACAGATATCCGCAATTGCGAAACCCTACCGACGTCTTATGTGGGAGACTCTGACAAAGACTGCTGAGTGTGCGGGCATACAATTAAAATTCTCGCTGTGCATTCTAGCTTCATAAATACCATGGCTCTGTTGGACAATCAAAGAAATTCATGTGGACTCCTGGAATCCTGCTCCGGCCGCTCAGATTTCTAATCTCCAAAACAATGTCACATAGCTGCTACGTCGGAGATGCATACAGAGTATTCGGAGATACACTTCACCGTCGTCGATGGAAATGTTTTGAGTATAACTACTTCATTTGCTTTCGTGTCTCATATCAGTGAAGGAGTCCTTATCACTGAAGGATGCTCCCAAATTGTCTCCATGAAAGCCCACGAAGAGACTTGTCTAATAACAGATGGTATTGAAAGTTGTACCTTTAACGAAGCAATGCTAATCTCGCTCCAACCCCTACAACAAGAAACCTGCATCACACTGAAGGACCACGACAGTCACCCGCTCGGCATAGTATCGATGAAGGTCAATGGCATCCAGTTTCAGTGTCGGAAGAACATCGAGTTTTTCACTCGAGATCACCACCTGACCTCTGAATCCGTTCACCGATGCTACTCTGCAGGAAGCTGCAAAGAAGATGCATGCGAAAACACGTCAGCAACCGATAAAATCAAGGAATTTTCGTTCACAGCAAACAACAGTCCTGGGTACACGTTCTGTTCACAAAGTTGCGGATGTCTAACATGTGATGGCTGCTTCTTCTGCCAACCGAGCTGCCTTTTTTACAGGATTTTCGCTGTACCAACCACTACAACAGTGTACACTATCTTCACATGCCCTACTTGGGAAGTCGTTGTCAACATGGAAGTAACGGTTCGCCAAGAAGACTCCACTACATCAAACACTATCCAGCTTCCATCCGGGACGAACCGCCACATGGAACAATCTCAGATTCAGTCTCATAGGGAACAATTGTTCCACAACTACCAATATTAGCGTCGACATTCGCAGAAACGGACTATTCCACCTCAATTGTCAAACCTGCTCATCGAGGACAGCTCACACCTCACAGCATTGGACAATTGCAATGCTCTACAACAGCACGCAGATCTGTTCAACTGTTCGTTCTCCCATAATGCGTGCAAATGCACTCAATGGTCTGCACAAGGCGTCATGTGTCTGCAGTCCTGGTAGCGTCGCGGATCTCATGCTACAATCGCCTTTACCACAGACTTCCAAGAATTACATCATCTTCTCCGACAACAAAAATGTATTCGCCAAAATCAATGTTGGATCAGCTCTACAAATACACTTCGTAGCCGAAAATATGAAGGTAACAAGTCGTCAATCGAACAGCACCTGCACCATCGAAGCAAGCGATCTCATCGGATGCTATAGCTGCATCGCAGGCGCTGAACTGACTCTCTACTGCCAATCCAGTGAAAGGAAGTTTTAGCGAATATCGAATGCCCCTTCCAGACGCAGATAGCACGCTGTACTCCAACAGGCTACATCAACACTCTCAAATTCCACTTCGACACTTCCACAGTCTCTACTGAATGTAAAGCTTCTTGCCCAGGAGGAATCACACCCTTCACAATGAAAGGATCACTACACTACGTGGACGACAACCTCATTAAGAGCGACCTACACTCAGAAGGAGAATCAAGAGACGTTCCAATGGACACAACATTTTTGGAAGATCTATCCTCTAAAGTTAATAATTTCATTAACAAAATAACAAGTCTATTTCCTAGTAACTTCATTGTAAACACTTTACTCTATCTTTTGTTAACTTTCTTCGCCATCCAATTTTTTTATCGCACTGTAATGCTTTACGTGGCCTCCAAATTTTCCAAAAAGGACCAATGACACGCTTTTCCCCGTGGGAGTTTTCTGCACTTTGCAGAATAGCACAGAACTTCGAATATCTTCTTGTGAATCATAATGAATCAATTTTTCATTTTGGGTAGATAGATTCCTTTCTTAGGATTCAATTGTGAAAAGGCTTGTCAATGAGCCAATTTTCGAATGCCCCATGTTTTGTGCTTTCCCTTCGCAATATGAAGTTTCTGCCCGTATATAAGCCCTCGTTATAATAGCATGTTTGGTGTCCTACCAATGTCCGAATGAATAAATCTTAGCCAAAGATTCGATTCGGAACAACCATGTTACCATTACCTTACTTGGAAACTAGCTTGCTTCAGCCCTGCAGAGTTGTGCAAAAACAGTGCGGATATTAGCGACTGCGAATTCAAAATGTCGAAAACAGGCGAATGCCCGAATTGAAGGTCTCCGGAAATTGGGACTAAATATGGACTCTGCAGGACAAAGCGTTCGACCAAATCTGAACATA